AGTGTGACAAGACAAGAAAAATAAGGACATAAACATGGGCTCTTTTTTCCTTTTCCTTTTTCTAGAATGATGCTGTTGGCAATAATGGAGGCATGATGATCTCTGGCAATGAAAAACAAGCATCTGGACTCACAAACCCCCTTTTGGTTTTTGTCCTTTTACGCAATGCTTTGCTTGTCGTCAACTGAAAGATGACTAATGTGTCTGCACACTTTGTTCTCTGCACCATTACCCTCACAAAAGAGCATTTTTAGTTTTAATAAGAGGTTTCTGAACCGCGTCCCAGCAGACTCATGGTATCCCTCTCTGCGAAGTTGACAGCAGACTATTTTCTTGTGTTCGGTGAAAGTTCTCGTCCTTCCCTTTGATCCTTGTTTCATGAAATGATACGATTCGAATTGGCATTTGACTAAAGTTTCGTCTTCCAAATTTGCTCGTGATTGTGTGGTTTTATTTAAACGCTGAAACGCCACATGCCAAATATTTGTTGCACACAAGCTTATGATCCAATGGTTGGGATTTTGTGGTCCCCACAGAGCGTCTACTTCGTTGCTTAAACAAACTTGTTTTTCCATGACCTCAAAAAAGTTCGATTATCAGATATTTTCTTTTAATCATTAACTGTTGACACGACTTTGGAAAAATGCCCACCAATTTCAGCCTTTATGTTTGTGCAAATTGAGATGTAGGAAACCATAGATTAAGCAATTTTGGCTTAAAATGAAGGATAACATCTGTCCAGGGGTTTAGAGCATATAATTATCTGATTTGAAGATGCAGATTATTAATTTGTCTGCCAAAATAAATATTTTTACAGTATTACTTTGGAAGTTCTTTTGCCATTTATGGAAAACAAAGTCAAAGAGTTATAAACTCCTGTATACAGTAAAATAAACACATTTAGTTTACCGTACTGTTTTCAGTTTCTTCCATAAAATCATAAGATTTTGTAAGATTAAAATCGTGGTTGGAAATCCTTAGATTGTGACCCTGTAGGAAAATGTTGTTTCAACAAAGTTCTACAAATGTTCAGTATATGTGAAAAAGTCAACACTGTATTAAAATCTAATAGAAATTTATCTTGCTCATTTTTACTTTCCATTTAATCATCTCACAACTGCTTAAATTTATTGACCTACTCCTTGAAATAGCCCAACCTCTTGGTTGGTTGTTTTTCCAACAAGACATTTTTGGTTTGTTTTTATTTTAACTCTTTTTATGGATTCTGTTAATAATGTTAATGGAGTGTTTTGGAGTGTTGCATTGTTACTTTAAGTAAATGGTTTGAATACTTTATCCAGTTACTTAACCTCCATCATATAAATGTCTTAAATGCAGGATATAACAAACTTATAGCATCAGAAGTAACGTATTCATCCAACAGAAGGTCAGCCCTGTGAGTAATACATTATCATTAATTAAATATTGAAGCAGCTTTAGAGGGAGTTCTTTTTTTCCCCTACAGTTAGTGGTTTCTGACCTTTGGGTTAAGCTTCGCCAATGGGCCAACAGAAATATCTGAGGTTATGAAATTATTAATGGAAGGGGAAAAGAAGAAAACACCGTAAAACAAAGTAATTATGCATAAATTTAAATGAATTTAAATTGATTTTTTTCTGGGATCATGTTGTGCCTCAAGATTTGATTAAATGGGGTGAATTTATTGGGACTTCCAGCAAATTCACCAGCAGGGCTCAAAAAAAGTCCAAGAAACCCCCTCCCACTCCAAGAGCTACACCTTAGACTCTAGTTACAGGCTTCAGTTAGCATGTTAAATGTTAAAGTTCATGACCGTGCAATTAGAAAAAGGCAGAACAGGTGTGGCGTGTTTGGAAAGATTGCCAGGAGAAAGGCCTCTGTGTTTGTGAAAAGAGCATGGCAACATGGCAAACCTTTGCAAACGTCTCACCTGAACAAAGCACAGGATTTCAGGATTAATGTCCTTTGGACTAATGAAACCAACTTGGAGATGTTTGGTCACAATGCATTGCCATATTTGGCAAAAACCAGGGTGAAGATTTGAGCTTGCAGCCGCAGGACCTGATACCTTGCAGTTACTGAGTAGGCCATGAACTCCTCTGCATGCCCAACTATTCTGTAGTCATATGTAAGGCCATCTGTGCATAAACAAATGTCCACATTTTTCTTCTTCACTCTACATATGTATTTTCTGTAGAACATAGTGGAAGACATCCATATCATCAAATCACACACATGGAATTTTGCAGTGTGAGAAACTGTGTAAACAAAACACGTTTCATATTTCAGATTCCTCAGAGTTTGCCTTGATGACAGCTTTGCACATTATCAGCTGTATCTTAAGCAGCTTCATGAGGAATATGTGGAATTTCTTGCCTTATTGGTGTGTTAGTGCTGGTGTACAGCAAATAGGCCTATTCAGCCACTACACTGATCCATATTATGGCAGGTTCTTCTTAACTAATCAGAGTGGATTGTAATGTAATTGAGCATGTGGATCGGTGAGGGGAGCTTGAAAGTTGTGTGCAGTTTCAAAAACTATGAAGGGACCATCACAGGCAAGTAAGATGACAAGTTAATTCTGCTACAACTGACACATTACAAATGGACACAAGTAGACACTTTTCACTTTAAAATGTATATGCATATGTACACTAAATATGGACATTTAAATACAAATAAATTGTTTCTTGAAATCCTTTTTTAAACTGTAAAATGTTTGAATATTGCTGCAGACCTGCTGAAAGACTATTCCATAGTTTGATTCCACAAACACAAAAGTTTTCACTGTTGTGTTTGCTTTAAAAAGTTTTACTTTATTCTTTGCTTTAGATTATTACCCCCACCCCAAATGGGGGTAATAATATCACAGAACTTTTTAAAACATATCTCCTGGTAACAGTTTAATCCATGCGTTATAGAGTACTTGTGCAGTGCCAAAGCAACATCCTATAATACTGTGGTAAAACTGCTGTTTTTGCAAACTCGCACCATCATTTAGTATTTGAGACATCCTGTTCTATAAGTTTTTAATAAACAAAAACAACAAAACGGTCACTAAATTGTATGGGCATATTGTTTAATGCACATGGGTTTGTATAGGAACCATGGACTAGCAGTTTATATATGCATATATCTGTTTACAAACAGCTACTTTCTGCTCATTTGTATATGTATCTTTAAAAACTATGATTTTATCTAATAAAAATTTATACAACTGTTATTCTTCAGAGCCATAATAATTAGCATGGTGTCAACAGAACCCTTTGGTATTGTGGTCCAGTTCAGATTTAGCTGTGCACAAACCACGAGTGCCAAAATGAATTAAATAAACACATCATTCAATAATTAACTGCATGTTCTTAATCAGTTATAGTCCATCAGTCGATGGACTACTTGAATGACTCTAAATTGTCAGAAATCTTTCAGTCCGGCTTTAAGCCATTTCACAGTACGGAGACAGCCCTCGTAAAAGTTATGAATGACATCCTGATAGCGACAGACCGTGGTAAATATACAGTGCTGGTCTTGTTGGACATGACCGCTGCATTTGACACAGTGCTGATCTCCCGCTTACAGCACTGTGTAGGAATTTCTGGTTCGGCACTTTTGTGGTTAAAGTCCTATCTCTTAAATAGGACCTTTTGTGTTAAGTTGGGGTCGGCTTCATCCTCTGTGGCCCCTCTGCTTTGGGGTGTGCCACAGGGATCTATTCTTGGGCCGTTATTGTTTTCACTGTACCTTTTGCCTCTTGGTGCGATTTTCCGAAAACATAAAGTGCCATTCCATCTATATGCAGATGACTGCCAGCTCTATTTACCTTTTAGTTATTCTGATAGTCTCCCAAGTCGACCTCTGCTTGACTGCCTTACTGATGTCAAAGCATGGATGGCAAAAAACTTTTTAAATTTTAATGATCGATTGTATTTGGCCCAAATTGTTTTTCTCATACTCCAGATGCTGATCTTGCAGCTTTGACTTTCCAACTAAAGAGTTCGATCACAAATCTCGGAGTTAAAATTGATTCTGCACTTACCTTTGATGACCATGTAAACGGGGTGGTAAAATCAGCATTCTATCACCTCAGACGTTTATCGAAGGTTAAGCCCTTTCTTTCCAAGGGTGACTTGGAAAGTGATATTCATGCCTTTATTACCTCACGTTTAGATTATTGCAATTCTCTTTTAATAGGAATTGGGCAGGGCACTTTGTCACGCTTGCAATTAGTGCAAAATGCTGCGGCACGATTTTTATAAAGTCCTTTTATTGGTTTTTAAATCTCTAAATGGTCTGGCACCTGTTTATTTGTCTGACTTGTTGAAGCCCCACGTCCCCACTCGTTCCCTTCGGTCAGCTGAGCAGTTGCTGCTTTCGGTGTCAAAGTCACGGCTGAAACTTAGAGGAGACCGAGCGTTCTCTGTTGCAGCGCAGATGCTTTGGAATAACTTTCCTCTCCATATTAGACAGGCTACATCAGTGCCAGTTTTTAAGTCTTTATTAAAAACCTCTTTTTATTCCCTGGCTTTTAACTCTGTGGGTAACTGATATTTATATATTTTATTTTATTTTTTAATTTTATTGCTATGTCTGGTTTTATTACTATGTGCATATTAGTATTGTACAGCACTTTGGTCTACCAGGTGTGTTTTTAAAGTGCTATATAAATAAATGATGATGATGATGATGAATTAATCAAATAATTCTACGAATAATTATTTAATCATCAATTATTTATTTCCCAATTTAATAAACTCGGGACACATTTAATTAAATATTTCATAACTTATTCGTTTAATTCATTTTTGGCACTCGTGGCTTTCCATATACTCCACATACTTGAAAATGATATTTCAGTATAGTATTTGAGTAAATATACCCTGTGACACCACTCCCCCCCACGGATGATCATATAAACAAATCAAAAGAGTAACGATCGTCACTTGCAGACCGAGGTGGCTCCGCCTTCACGAACGTCCGCCCCGCCCCGCTTATTACCGATGCGGCCACCCAGCGGACGGACGGCGGCTGCTGCACTTTGAAGTCCGCCAGTTGTGATCAGTGAGCTGCTGAAGTCCTGCACGGAGACACGCAGTGGGACGTTTCCCGAGCACTCGGACTCTCAAGTGGCTCTTTTCTCGTTTGCGCCTTGCCAAAAAGGACACCGTGCTCTTTTTTGTGGACTTTATTATTATTGTTATTTATTTATTTTTTTATTTTGTGGGGTTTGAAGTCGGAATACAGGAGACGTGTTTGGGACGAGGATGCTCCAAATGAAGTAGCGCACTGGGGCTGAAAGGCTTCTCCGTCCTTCGGGACATTTAAGGACGCCCGTCTGTGTTTCATGTCCGCTGGATTATATTTACCAAACCCATTTTGAATCATTATTTTTATTTATTTTCTTTTTTTATCCTTTATTTTATTATTACTATTTTTTATAAGTTTTTTTTAAAAATAAAGTAACGCACGTCCACGGCCACCCCTGCGCCCTCTCTCCAATGAAATATCTCCCTTCAGGATCAGCTGCTGATCGAGTTAGCGCGCGGATCGAGCTCAGTGAGACCAGCGTTCCTAAGAAGTCCCGTCCCGGTGCTGCGCTCTCTTTGTTGACCCCTCTGGACCCACTTCGACAGGCAAAGCGGCTTCCTATCCGAGTTATCAAGATGTTGACGGCGCACACCGGACACTTGCTACACCCGGAATATTTACAGCCTCTAACACCCGCACCAGTGAGCATCGAGGTATTTATGGACTTTTTATTTATTTATTTATTTGTTTGTTTTAGCGTTCCTTTGTAGAGAGGACTGTTCTTACACTGCAGATCTGTGGATATGTCGCAACACAGGGCTGAAATCTGCTATGACAACAGATAAAAACAATCCCGCATTTGCAGGGAGCTGATAATATGCTGTGGTCTGTGTTTTTTAACTCCACACGCTGACACGCGCACTGCGATAAACTGATATCTATTTAATTCTATTCGCAATTTACTCCAAAATTAAAAACTGATTTGTTGATAAATTGTTAAAGTTAATGAAGATTGTTTTAGATAATCAAATCCTTTTCTTGCTTTTGTTGTCTGCTAACATGTGATGTAATAATAATAATTATTATTTTTTAAACTTAAGTGAATAGCTTTTTTTTTTATTAGCCTGCTTTAGTGTCTAAAAGAAGCCATCCCACCTTCCCAGAGCACAGGGTGAAGTTCTCAAATGTCAGATGTTTTCCTAAAGAACAAAGGCACCGAGTGCACTGTAATGGATGTTACAGAAAGGCATTTTTTTCTTTGTTTTTATGCTTTAAAAATGCTGATTAATTTGTAATCATCTGAAGCTTAAAGCTTAAACACCTCCCCCTGACTTCCAGGAAGTTACAAAGACCCCTCTGGCATTTTATGCACAGAGCAATAAAGCATTTGGTACATAATAACTGTCAGCAGGCCTACACAAAATCACACAAAACTTCTGGGTGTTTTGTTGTTTAGTTTTTTTGGAAAGCTTTAAAAAATGTAGTAAAACTTGTTTAATTTTGTTGTAGCTGGATGCAAAGAAGAGTCCCCTTGCCCTGCTTGCTCAGACCTGCTCTCAAATTGGTAAACCAGACCCTCCTTCTTCCTCCAAGCTCAACTCCTCCTGCAGTCAGGGGGACAAGGAGCCCAGCAGTCGGTCATCTGTCTCCAGCCTGAAGCTCGGCGAGCACCGCCACGCCCTGGAGGACAAATCCAGCTTCAAGCCCTACAACAAAGGCAGCGGTGAATGTCGCAGAGACGGAGCCACCAGCAGCAGCGGCTCCGGCAGTGACAAAGTCGGCTTCAGGGTGCCCAGCAGCAGTAGCACTACCGCTAATGGAAATTCAACCAGTGGCCAGCAGTCCTATCCGCCTCACGCTGTGTCGCCCAGCTCCAGAGCCAGGAGCAGCACCCCACCGGGACATGCTCAGCAGCTTTCCAAACAGAGCCACTCTCCAGGTGGACAGCACGCCCCACACTCCCAGAGTCCCACTGGTGAATCTGCACGTGACCAGAGCAGTCCCACCAGCACGAGCAGCAATAATAATAACAACAATAACATAAATCCCAAAAAAGACGCTGAGGTAAACAAGGCCAGCTCGGACAGCCCGCACCACGCTAACTCCAGTCACGTTCGGGCCAGCACAAACTGCAGTAACGGAAGCTCTGACGGAGGCTCCAACCATGACGCAGGCAAAGCAGAGCCCACCCAGCCTAACCTCGGCCCTGGACACGTTACGCCCATTTCTCCTTATAAGACCAGCCAGCCGCTCTTCCCTCTGCCTTCCTCAAATATGGGCTACCATGGATCTGTAGTGGGGGGCTACGCAGGCTACCCATCCCAGTTTGTTCCTGGACTGGACCCGACCAAGTCGAGCCTGAGCGTGGGCAGCATGGGCGTACCAGGAAAGCACCCAAGCTCCAGCCCTCTTACGGGCGCCTCCCCTCCCTCCTTCATGCAGGGTTTATGCAGGGACCCTTACTGTCTAAGTTACCCAAGTGTATCCCATCTTGGTGGAAGCAACTGCAACTCCTGCATCCACGACCCTTCCTCCACCCTCAAATCCAGCTTCCCACTGGTGTATCCCTCCCACCACCTCCACTCTCTCCACCAAAGCTCCTTGTCATCCAGTGCATCCTCCTCCCTCTCTCATCCCCTCTACACGTACGGCTTCATGCTCCCCAACGATCCCCTGCCACACGCTTGCAACTGGGTCTCAGCCGGAGGGCCGTGCGACAAGCGCTTCGCAACGTCAGACGAACTCCTGGCTCACCTCCGCACGCACACAGCCCTGCCGGTGGGGATGGACAGTAAGCTGCTCTCTGCTTCCTCCTCAGGGCCTGCCTCCTGCCACCTTCACCTCCCACATCAGAACAGTCCAGGCTCCATGCCCAGCTCTCTTTCTCTCAGGGCTCCCCCCAGCCTGGGTCTGGCTCGCTATCACCCCTACAGTAAGGTCCATCTCCCCTCTGGACCTTCCTCCATCTCCCTGCACTCTCTGCCCACCACAGGTCCATACTACCCTCATTACGCACTCTACAGTCAAAGACTGGGGTCTGCGTCGGCTCTGGGATACCAGTGATGCACCACCTACTTAAATCTTTAGAGGAATGGTTCAACGTGTTGGGAAATAATGCTTATTTGTATCCTGGCTAAGAGTCAGATGAGAAGATTGACGCCGCTGGCGAATTTCTATTTTAAATATGAAGCCAGTTCATTTAGCTTAGCTTAGCATGGAGAAGGGGTAAAATACTGAACGAGCTAGCAGAGATTTTAGCTGAGGAGCAGGTTAACACGTGCCCCTCACAGAGTTCATTCCATCTTCAGCCTGTATGCTAAGCTTAGTATCTGCTGGCTGTCGCTTCATATTGAGTGTGTGTGTTCATCTGCTCAGCCAGGACGTTAATAAGCACCCTCCCCAAAACGTCTTGATGGTTACTTTAACTTTAATCACTGCAACTTGCTGCTTCCTTTGACTTCGCAGCAGCTTCAAGTGGAACTGGGAGGGACTTGCGACTCCTGGATTTTAACTTGAGAGCATCTTCAACTTTTTTTTTCTTGGTTCTTTATACATTATCTGTTTATACAAGATTTGTTGTTTCAAACCAGGACCTACTGCTAAAATTCAGTGGACACGCAGCTCTTGCATGTCTGCACATTGCTCGGATGCTTCTGCAGCAGGCGCGACTGCTCTGAGAGGACACTTGCCGCCCTGTGGACTCGCCTGATTGATGGATGGACGCTGCGTGACAGCTCTTGGATTTTCAGGGGGTTCTCGTTGCAAATGTTGATGATGATGATTTTGAAATGGCAGCGAGCTCCAGCATCGGGATCGGTGTTAGTGTGACTGCAGTGGCTTTCTCCCTGCATCAGATGCCTGTAAGCTCAGCGCAGTGCACACACTTGGTTTGCCCCCGTGGTTTGTGATCATCTGTTTTGGTTCCTTGGTTTTTTTTTTTCTTTTATTCCTACTGAGAACTTGTATTTATTTTATAAAAGGGGAGCTGACTGTAAAGTTTACCACATAAATCTCTCCTCGTTTTCAAGTGCACACACGGCAGGTGTGGAATGCGTTGTGTCTTAAAACTTCTCCGAGAATGAATGTTACAGTCACATCTCTCTCCGAGCTCCTCGCCTCTTTTGATTGTTTTTATTTTCACACGGCAAATCGACTGAGATGTGATATTTTTTGTAAACTTGGAGCACCCTGTGGTGGGATCCAATGAAAGGGGAGGTCATATTTTAGTAAATAAATAACACTGAAGATGTATATTTTGTTGTCTTCATTTCTGATGTGAATGGCTTTCAGTCAAAGATTTCTCTTTATTAGCTTTTTGTAGTGCATTTGTTAACCCAAGGTTTAATTCACTGTGTTGCCTTTGTTGGAAATACTTGACAACCAACACCTGACAAATGATATTTCTTGATTAATAACGAGACGTTTACTTATGTCAGCACTTCTCAGAAAAATCAGTACCGACAAGAAAAGTGTCCGAAACATTTCCCAGACCAGTTCTGCCACTTTGCAGATTCCTACCTTTTAAAGGAAAAACAAGTGAAGTGGTGAAAGGCAGGCGTAAACCCTTCTGAGCATATATGTCAGCGAGGCGACAGTATAGGTGATCCAGATGTGTACAGGCAGCTATTCTTGCAGCGAAAACAGTTACTTGATTGACGACGTCGGGTGTGCTTTACCGTTGAGCTCCAGCTTATTCCGTGTCAACCTCAAGCTAAAGCATCCTGATTTAATGCTCCCAGATTTAGCGTTCAAGTGCGCTTCGTGAAAAATGGCGACATTTGTGCCTGTCGAGCCTGTCGAGATGTAATGTATATACACTGTAGCCACTAGCAGCAGCTTTCCGTGCGATCGAGACGGAGCCCTGACAGTTGCTCAGGTTACCGCAGCCAGCGCGTGATTGGCAGCAGTAATATGCCATTTCCTAGCAACATGACTCCGTGACACCCTTGGCAAAGTATAGATGACCCATGCTGGTCAATCACAACTCTGACAAGGCTCCCAGAGGGGTCAAAGCGGCCTGTAACAAGAGAGAGTGCTCCTGTTTCAGTGGTCTGACTTGCTGTTGTGGGGCTGTCTGAGTTCGGCAGCCCCCCCCCCCCCGAGTGTTTTGTGTTGTCAGATATGCCCCAGAAAACAGACACGCTTTAGTTTATTAGCTCTAAGAAATAAGTTGGCAGTTGTTACCAGTTAAGTTTCACTTCTCTCTTTCAGTGACAGACTTGAGGATATTTTGAGTTGTTTTCGTTGGATTTCTCTCCACATTTCCTCTTCAGGTGTTATCAGTCACTTGTGTTTACTGTAGCAAAGATGCTATGGCGTTGGATTGGGATGCCACCTATTGGTGACCAGTGATATCTGTATGTTACCAGGAGGCAACATCACCTGCCTCTGTGGTAATCTTCTACTCATTTGCTTGAAAATGGTTTAAGTAATGTTAATGAAATTATTCAAGAGGCCAAAAATGGAAAAAGGCCATGCACGCCTTTCTTTTTGCTGAAGGGTAGTAACCCAGTTTTTTATTTCTTTCGGAGGTGAAAACACCTCTCAACATTTTGTCATCCCAAATTTAGATTTAACCCTTTCCTTGTGAAATGTATCACCTCAGTTTAATATTAAAGATCAGTTATAAATTTGAGGTCACAAAATATCAGCAGATCCACTTTATATTAGTTTAGGGTAGCAAAAAATGTTAGGGGGTTCAACCCCCAGTGGATGTTTAGCTCATTCTACAACAGTGATAATAACTCATTCACCACCACAAGTTATTAAAAAATATAGAGCGGCTTTTGGCAACTTCTAATTACGTTTGTAATATCCAATCTGGTGTTTAAACACATTTACAGTCTTCAGATATTAAGGTTTAAATTACACTATGACTTTATATTTACTAATGCCGAGGCAAACTGAACCAGTCCAGTGCTGTGATATTATCACAGGACACTGAGGGGGTGTTTTGCAATGAATCCTGGTGACACTGGTAATTTGTTTTTCCTAGTGGCCCCATGAGGTTAGTATGTTTGATTTAGAGCAACTCAACTCCTATGGGATGAATTACCAAACAATTTTCTACAGACAATAACTTTTCTGCGTTGACCTGGAGGTGAGACAAACAACATCATTACACAAAACAAAACAAGATGAAGAACACGGTTTCACGAAACAAAAGCATTCAGGATATGTTTCCATTTTATTGTTTTGTGAAATATTCTTTATTTCTTTCTAATTTTTCATTTTAGGTCCACCATACCTTGAAGCCTGTTTAGCTAGCTTACAAAAAACAAACAAAATTCTCTGTAATTTAATATATAGATAAAATTTTAGATCTAAATCAACTAATTTAAATAAGGCAAGTGACATTTAATTAAAATTTACTTATATAGCACCAAATTGTAACAGTCACTTCAAGTTGCTTTTTTATATTGTAAGGTAGAGACACTAAAATCATGGAGAGAAACCCCCAACATCCAGCCAACCATCTATGAACAAGCACTTGGAGACAGTGAGAAGAGAAAACTCCCTTTTAACAGGAAGAAATCTCTGACAGGATTTTCATTATAAAAACACAGAAAAATGCTATGAAAATAATTCAGTAACCACAGAGGTCTTGAGTCCCGCCCAGCTCTTAAAAAAATAACCGCATTGTAATGGTTTTTTAAATCTAATTTTAAAAGAAAAATCTAATTAATATGTGCAATAATTCTAATCTCAACTTTTCTTCTTCAGAAACTCACAATCAAATGCAACAATACAAACAGTTTAAGATGCTAGCATTAAACCATCCTTCCACTTGTTTGGCCAGTTGTACCGTTTATTTAACATTAAATATAAAAAAATGTCAAAATGCATTATCATAAAATACTGTTAGTTTAAAGAAAGAATTAATAAATATTGCACTATAGTAGATTCCAGAGAAATCACACTGTTTTGTTGCCAGATTTTTTTTTTTTTTGCTTTCTTGTGCCTGCAGCACTTTACCCTCTTCTACCCACATATGAAAATCACTAGACAGCGATAAAGACATCTTATTCCACTGATGTCTTGATGTCCAAGTTTGAAGTCAATAAATGTGTGGAAAAAAAGACTCACTGCATGAATGAGTCAGTAAATGAAGCAGTGAATGATGGTTAGGTTATGGTTGATCTTTCCACGAGGGAGCGTGACTGTTCCCCTCTATCAGCCCATCGCAGCAGCTGCATCATCACTTGCAAAGCCAACAAACCACGTGCACAACATTTCTTCTTTCTTCAGCGATGGCCCTCACACCAAGGCTTTCTAGCTGCAGGATATTACAGACAGCAACCCTGACTGCAACTAAATAACATGAATTAAGAAGCTGGACGGTCTCAGTTAGCGTTAGCTAGCTTGGTTAGCAAAACCATTAACAAACATACAGGCTAATTAGCGCCACGTAACAGACTAATGAAATATTTCAGTTTTATGGTAAATTCTAGGATGGTCTGCACCACATAGCACATCACAGTATTATTCAGATAAACCATTAAAAATGCTCCAACATAGTGGATGAGGCCTAGCAGACACATGACCGCACTATCACCTGTCAGTCAATGCGGTCATGCACCCAACTCCAGTATTCAGATGGATGTGTTGTTAACAAAAAACAACAAAAAAACTCACTGAGATGTGTTACACATGGGAAGACTATACATAGAGGCCAAAAATTGTATTCAGGTTGTTAATATGCTTTTTTTTATGCTGTATAGTTGAACGTTTTAACATGGGAGTCTAAGGACAATGACTCCATTTAGCAGCCAGCCTGAAATGGCACCGAGAGGATCTTCTGCATTGGGTTCATGTTTTTTATCTCTGGAGAGTACCACTTGGCACAGCTCATTGACTGTATAAAAGTCAGTGAACACAGTCATGTGTGCGCTGACTTGCAGCAACCTCACAGAGCTGCTGACTGTATGAAATCTTCATAGAAAGGGACACAATGTTTACAGTTTTTGCATTTTAAACATTGTAAACATACTTTACTTATTAACCACTGATTCAGGTTTGTTTTGAGTAGTCGTTATATTTATTTCTTTTTTCCTCAAACCTTTTTTGGGGGGACGAAATGTTCTGTGCAAAGGGAACTGAGAAGCAGCAGGAGGGGAGATGGAGGGCACCCACTGACTATTACATCTATATTTAAACAATATGGTTTACCCATGGTTTCATCCATCACATAACAGCGCTGCTTTTCCAATGTGTTGGTTGCAGACATCTTTGTTTTCTTTTTAAATTTAGCACTCTAATTTAAAACCAGTGTTGCGAACACATTTCGCTGTAATGTATAAAAAGCCTTCTGGTATTATTCTGGTTGATATAAGTGAGTCCTTGGAGCAGCCTGACAGCCCTGATGATTAATGGTGACAGACTGTGGAGCTGCCCCTTCATTACATGACAAGCCTCTAACCTCTCTATCAGCCCAAACCGGTGCAGATGAAACACTGGGAGAAATTAGATTTAAGAAATGCAGATTTTTTTTAAATCGATCGATTGATCTCCAGAATTTTTTGTTGTGTCTTCTCCTTTGATGTCAGACGCTGTGAAATTTCCTGCATTAAAATCATTAGGCGTAGTCACAAATTACAAACATCTGCCCCGATGCTTCTTTTCTGACTCGTCTCTGAGTTACAGATCACACACTATTTCCCAGAAATGGACTCCTCTGCTTTCATTTTGTCTTCTCTCCAACTTTATCACTTCATCCATCATCCGACTATGAGGGCTTTTCAAGCAGTCCAAAAATAAAGCGGACACAGATGTCAGCCATGCTGTACTGATGTTTCTAAACCACCATAAACCCATCACTTACATCCACCCACGGGCTGGGAGAAATGTTGAAAATACACTTTTCTTGCTTAAAGAAAAAAGAAAAAAAGCTTTGTCACCCCATCCACTACACTACTACTCGTATGTTAAATTACCCACATCCAACAATAAATCTGCCTGCACTGGAGCAGGTATTTTTATTTCTGAAAAAAAGAATTACTGAGACCTCTCTTGCCTTATGGCTTTTTTTTTAAGTCAACAGAATGAGTTTAGTGGTGTACAAGAGGGCAAATGCAATTATGGCTTCTCTGCTAATGTGCATGGCCCCAGCTGGTTTTTATCTGGCTGAGCTGTAAGGGCTCCTAGATCAGTTGTCAGCTCTCATGCATCATAAACCCAGTGCTTAACAGAGAAACGTGCTTTGGCAGTGACCAGTGGAGGCCTGGAGGCCAGCAGCGGCTGCCGGTGGTTTTGGCACATGGAGAGAGGGGGACACGATCCTCTGCCTTCCGCATCTGGATCCTCACAGCCACATTCTCTCATTCCTCGTGGTTTTTACCCTCTTCACGAACACAACACGCCATAATTGGCTAGTGTGACCCATAGCAGACGCCACGCCGGAGACTTTGGGAGGTCAAAGAAAAGGCTCCAAAATACACACATGTGGACGGCAACATAAAGCAAGACAGAGAGAGCTATCTGATTGAGAAAGAGAGAGAGAGAGAAGCTTCATGGAAATAAGCAGACGTGATTACTCAAATACAGTCATTAAGGAGGAAACGTTGTTTTTCAAGCTGTCAGGATGATTAATGATCGAGAGCAAATTCCACTCAAATGCTGTTGTTTAGTCTAACCAGCAGACCTGATCTTTGCCACTATGTTACAACAGAAATGATGTGTGCGTCCAGCAATGTGGTGTGTTGAAGTGAAAAAAAGGCAAAATACTGAAATAGATACAGGGAAAAGAATGTGTCACACGTTTTGTCATTCCTGTAGTGACTGCTACTAGTATTCCAAGAGGGATGAGAAATGCACGTCACATAATCTGCAAATAAAAAGCAGATTTGCAAACGTGTACAAGAATTTGCATAAAATGTCATGTTTATAACTCCATTACCCAAACAAATGCTGCTCAGTTTGGGGCACACTGAACATCAAGTTGCTTTTAAACATTCACTGATTTAGCAGATCATTCGTATGTAAATGCACAGTCATATGCTACCTTTCCACATGAAGTATGAAGGAATACTTCTTTTTATTGCGCTCATATTAGCGCCTTTTATTAGCATGCGTGGCTAGCCACAAATGAACATGTTGTAGGCTTATGTTAAAAAACCAATACATTTATCTCAAACGGCACATTCACTAATTAATATTTGCTAATTTTATGCCAGATGAAAGCTAAGCTAATACCATTAGCAAGGAATGCACGCGTCCTTAACAGTTACCTTGCTAGTAGCTACCTGCATTTAGGATATTTAGGATAAAATAATAAGTGCACTCTGGGGTACATACCTGGAGAAGGGTCAGGCAGTCAAAAGCTGAAGCAAAACACCCCTTGCAATAAAATATAATAAATAATAAAAACAAAGATCGACCAAATGGACCAATACGGCAATGCCACGATGATCCATTTGGCAAAGTAAATCCATTGGTTATCCTTGTTGGTCTTCAGACAACAATTCTGATGGCTAAAGAACCAAATGGGACAGGCGGAAAAAAAAAAAAAAACAACAACACCCATTGCATTTGTGACAATGAGCACTGACAGCAAACTGCAACTGCACTTTTGAGCATTCAATTCTCAACACCATCAAGCTATTTTAAGCCTGCACCACTACTTGTTGATATTTCCATCCATATACAATTTAGCCCTGGGGACTGTTTAATACCAGGTTTTTGTACCCATTCCTACATATGAGCTGCTTCTCTATTTACACATTTTCCACAAAGCTAGCTAGGATTATGAAAGCCATTTCCACGGAAGCCTGCTGTTGTTTATTCTAAGCTGAAATCAAGGACCCATTGTTTGAAATATTTAACAAAATTTCAAGAAAAACCTTGCCAGCATGATCACAAATTGCATGTACAAATTGTGAGTTTAAAGCAGGATGTGTAGACCAGCAGGGCTTAGCAAACGGTCAGCTTCCAAAATGATTTCTTTCCTCAATATTGGTTATAAAGAAAAACGTTTCCTGCAATTTCAAATGTCGATTTCTAATGAAAAGCAATCTAAAGATGCTGTCTTCTGGTTTCCCTCATGTGCACCACATTCATTCAAAGTTCATGTTATGCTGCAATAGATCACCTGGCCTGAAGTTGTAAGTGTCAACACATTCTAGAAAATTAGCCTTCTTTGTGAGTTTTCCAGTGCACACATGCCAAAGTCCTCAGAAACTCCAGATGTTCGGCAAATCGCGCTGGAAGGCTGATAAGGAATCAGCTTTCAACAGATGTCTTGTGCCTGGACTCGCTGATTTAGTAGCTGTGAATGATGAAACAGTGTTTCAGTGTCTCGCAGCCTGACTGTCTTTTATCATTATTCAAGCAGCTGTGAATCTGGGTGACATCATGTCAGCGGATGGGAGTGAGAATGAGATGGTACATTAGGTTTTTCACATTTTTGTGTGTTTGAATATTTGATGTATTTGACTTGAAGGAGTCTCTGCTGGCTAACTGATCACATACAATGATGGGAATGTGGAACTTAAGCATAAATAATCCTGCTCCAAGTTGCGTTCATCAGCTGTTAAATGGCTAAAAGTTTCCTACTGATAATGAAAATAGCAAGAAATTCAGACCTGAAATATGGAAGGATCCAATAATTAAATACGCATCCGCTAGCCATTGGCTAAAAATATTCCAGATATCAGACTGACTGTATTAACAGTCTAATCAGGGTAAAGTTATCAATAAAAAACTGTGAGCATGAAAGGAAACAGCACCAGAAGTGCTGCTGTTGATCAAGAGGAGGTGGTGTCTGACAGCACCAATGACTGACACAAACAGTGAGGGAGTTGGACAGATGAGAGCCACAGGCGCTGGGAGCGGGGGCGTACGAGGGTCAACACATCGCCTTTGCAATGAGTGTGGCCCAGCAGCTGTATGCATAGGGGAGCCTTGGCCTCTTGCTCTGCATGTCAGGGGCCGTGATTAATGACCCACAGGCCTTGCTCTTAACACCCCCGCTGCCCCGCAGAAGTCACTGCAGCCACTGCACGTTTAGCTAATGGGCATAGCCAGCGACAGACAGGCACAGGAGATGAGGGGTTACGTATGAGTGCACGTGCGTATATGGAGGCAGACTCAAAATGAGAGCAATTTACCGCTTACAAAACACTGCATACCACTGTTGCAGTCTCTATGTAATTTCAGGGTGAGAGCAATGATTTTTTTAGATTAGTGTGTGCCTGTGTAGTGTCGAAGCTGAGAGGGTGCCCGTGCCTGTGTACTGGTTCCCAGCTTGTCAGGCAGCTGTCGAGGAGTGATTTATGACCACTAGACTCCAACCTGTCTTCACTGCCAGTTCAGTATTGTTACAACTGACAGCTAATGAGGCCAGACATGCTTTCAAGCAGAGCACTTAACAGGACTTCAATCTTCCCCCGTCACAAGTACCATTTTTGCACTCTCTCTCTCTCACACACACAGCAGCCTCCTTTCTCTGTGCTTTCCTTGTTCTCTGTCTTTCTGTGGTGGAACATATGACAGGCACTGAAAAGGCTTCTGCCTACAGAAGATGTTTCTTAGAAGGCAACAGCAGCAGAGAGCAGCACTCTTTCTCACACACATGAACACATACTGGCTAAAGTTCGACTTCATCTAATTATCACCCTTTTTGATTGGGCTTTAAAATAATGAAAATGTGTTCACGCACTTAGTTGCTGAGTATTACGTGAGGAGATTGGTAATGCTCTCTTGTCCTGTAAACATTATTTAGCTAGAGCGAGGCAAGCACTAGCTTAGCTTTGCTTAGCATAAACACGGGAGGGAAACAAAGATTTCAAAACACGGCTCCACTTCTTTTACTTGACGTGTACAGCAGCAACTCTCTTTTAAAGTTGCCTGAAGTACAGTGAACACAGCAATTAGATGCCTGGAATGGTAATTTTGCTAACGGCATTAGTTTTGTCAGTATCTAGAACTTGCTAACGTACCTTGAAAAATCCTCTGCTGCTTTATACATATTCATTTTAGTGGGACCTTCAACCAAACTGTCATGCATTTCCAGTTATACTAAGAATTCAATTTCATATTAATATTAATTTATTTAATTGTAAATTTTCATATACATTTACCATTAAATAGCACATGATGCATTTATAAAATTAAATACTAAATATTAAAGATTAAACTCCTTTTTACCCAGTAATTCACAACTGGTGTCAGTTCCACTTCATTCAATGTCAAAGGTACAGAGACTTAAAAAACAATAATTAATAAGTCTGTAACGAGATTTTCTAACCACCATGTATGATCTCACAGTAAATCTGATTCTCTGGAAGGGCTAAGGCCTTATTTTGGGAACAGCATATAGTAGACTGTGAATACAACAAAATAAAGTAGTATTTTGAAAATAAAATTGAAGTAGAATTTTAAAATTGAAGTAGATTTACATTTTTATACAGATTCCTGAATCAGGAACAAGTGTGTCTTTATTGTACGAGTAATTTGTTATAATTTGTTCAAGGAACAAAGAAGGACAAATATTTCACTAAATCGTACAGCTCCTTTAAGTCTGGACAAATGGTTATTCTTTATATTATGTATTCACACTTGCATTGTTGCATGCATTATTATCAGCCAAAACAGCGAAACTGAACATAGTTTTGGCTGTTAGTTATTGAATTCCAGTATTTATAAAAAAAAAAAAAAGAGAGAGAGAGAGAGAACCAAACACACAGGATTGCTGTTTTCCAGCGCTCATTCAGCGTAAAGTCACTCTGGCAGCTTTCCTTCCTTTAATCCCGAATTCTTTGTCAGCCATGATTAATGGCAAACCTACTAGCTGCTAGCTTGCATTGCACTGCTGGCCGTGCCATTGTCTCCTGGATACTTAATGAACTCTGACAAGTCTTCTGTTCCTGCACTGACTTTAAATGCAGCAACAGCGACCCCTGGAGGTAGAAAAGGGCGTTTCATTCAATTTCACAATAAATTACATGCAGCACAGTGACACTTTCTTCGGTTTTAGTGATAAAGACTGCAGTTATCTGAACTCAACTAGCATAGTTTATAGCAAAATTAGGTTAACAGTACAATGAAAATTCAATCTTCTTGGGTGTATCCACTGTAGTGACATCCAAACATAGGCTACTTTGAGCTGCACCTTTGCCATAAAGCATTACCACAGGAGATAACTCTGAATTATAGATTTTGCAGATTTACACTGGGAGTTGTGTTGCCTCCTAAATCAAACCAGGGATTGTTTTAGTTAATTCAGTACAATGTAATTCACTGCACTGTAAGCTATGGTTGTTGGCTGCGCGCATCCATGACGCAAACATCCCATTCCACCAAATCCCAAAGGCCCCCACAATCAGCTGAGACCAGGTGATTGTGGGAGCCACTGTGAACTCAATGTCAGGTTTTTAAAAAATCAGTTTGAGATGCTAGAAGGACAGGAGGATAGACGTGGCCAGCAAAAATATCTCATGTGAGCTGTGGTGTTTAAATAATGCTCAGAGGGTCCAAAGTGTACCACAAAATATCCTCCACACACCACACACACACTCAAAGGCCACTTCACAGAATCACAGGTGATTTAATCACAGGTGATTTAAGTGACTTCAGATGCCAGATGAGCTGGGTTGATTATTTTAAAAACTGCTGATGTGCTGGGATTTTCCCATAAAACCATCTCCAGGGTTTACATAAAATGGTCCAAAAGAAAAGAAAAGAAAAAATATCCAGAGGGTGACAATTTTCTCAGAGATATAATATGTTGAGAACAATGGCCCGTCTGATTCTAGCTGACAGGAAGGCAACAGCAACTCAGATATTGTTACAATCAGTACGCAGAAGAGCATTTCTGGATGCACAGCACATAGTACCTGGAAACAGGTGGACTGCAGCAGCAGCAGCACAAGACCACACCAAGTGTCACTGCTGTCAGCTAAGAACAGGAAGCTGAGGATCATTCACACAGGTCACAAAACTTTACAGGTTTGAAGTTGGAGTCTAAAGGAGGCCAAGTTCATAGACAAGGATGTTTCTACCCATGATTACTGAGAAGAGATCGGCAGAAGTAAAAAAGACCAACAGGCACGTGTGTTTTTTACTCCACAAATAAAGAGTCTTGATTGCATAATACACAATACTATCCAAACTGGATGTGATCTGAAGACTCAGTTGCAATTTTTTGAAACTATTACATATTTTAAATGTAAAATCTTCTGGAAACTTTCAAGTTTGTTATAGTATATCTGTTACATGACATGTGCAATTTTCTCTGCATTACCTATTTACTTGCATCCTTACAATGTGATCATGGATTGTCTCTCTTTGTTGTTGTTTCTTTCAACTGCTCTGGGATCACTACTTCAGATGGATTCGCATATTTGCTATGGTACAG